AAAGGCCCCCATTAGAACCCATGCAAGAAATGCATTATTGCTCAGACTGCAATATCTTTCCCGGAACAAACACCAATTGCAAATAACATACTAAAAATAAACCTGAAAATCTGTTTAGAACAGCTACTATGTTGCAAAGAGTGAACTACTACTGGCAATTTAGCAGTCTTTGCAAACTTCAAAAGCAAATGGCCTCGATCTTGGTTCCACTTGCCTCTTACCTGTGACTTCAGTGGAAATTTCAAATTCAGGCTCTGACACAGATTGATTCATGTTCTACACAGTTCTTACAAGTTCATAGAAACTTCTGTTCAATTAGAACCAAGTATTTGAGTAGATGATTGTAATTTTTATACAGTGTTGTAATTTGTTTTTCAACAAGTTTTTGATTAATGTTTTGTTTCCTTTACAATATTATACTTTAATGTATAATATTGTAAAGGAAACAAAACAGGAAACAAAACATCAATCAAAAAATTTATCTTTTTTTATTCGGGCTACTTAAACTTATTTTGGGCAACAAAAAACTGAAGAGTCCCTGCCCAAAGGGCTACCAGGGATTTTGAAATTTTGCGAGCCCTGATATTTATAATTTTAATAAATGACAAATTTAAAAGGCATGAACATTTTTTTTGTATCGAAAAAATATCGAACCGTGACACCAAAGTATCGAACCGAACCGTGAATTTTGTGTATCGTTGCACCCCTAATATATATATATATATATATTTAAATTCAGTGTATCAAATCAAATCAAATTCAAATTTTATTTGTCACGTACACAGTCATACACAGTACGATATGTAGTGAAATGCTTGGACAACTGCTCGTGACCTAAAGAAAACAAAAAAGGAAAAGGCTATGAATAAGATAGGAAATAAATATGAAAAATTAAAAAGGGTAAATTTAACTAGGAAGGAATAAAATATAAATTAAGGTTAAAAATGAAATAACTGTACAACACAAATTAGAATGAAGGGTAAATTTAACTGGGAAGAATAAGATAAAATATATAAATTAAAGTTGAAAATAAAATAACTGTACAACAAAATACACAATATAGAACTATATAAGAATGTATGAAGAAATCTAAATATAAATAAATATATACACAATAACAGCAGCTGTACAAGTATTAACCGGAAATGAAGAATATAGTGACCAGTGTTGTGCAAAAACAAAGTCCAGAAAGTCCAGTGTGTGTGTAAGAACCATATGTGTGGGTCAGTACTGTGTGGTGGTGTGATTGAGAGACCGTATCGCCTGCGGGAAGAAGCTCCTCCTCAGTCTCTCTGTGTTGGTCTTCAGGGAGCGGAATCGCTTTCCTGACCTCAACAGAGAGAACAGTCTGTTGTTGGGATGGCTGAGGTCCTTCACGATCTTCCTGGCCTTGGTCCAGCACCGCCTGCTGTAGATTGAGTGCAGGTCAGGGAGCTCGGAGCGGATGGTGCGCTCAGTGTAGTTGGATATAGTAAGATTCAAAGCACTTCAATATTGAGGAAAAGTGCTACATTGGACATAAATTGGGTGGAGGGTATTATTACACACTTCAGTTGACCAAACTTTTCCTGCAAAAGTTTGTGTCAGGGTGTGGTCTGCAGCTCGGCTGCGGGGGAAGGGTGGTGCAATGAGTTCAGGGGGTGAGTGCCAGTGGAGGATGGCTGACACAGCTGGTATTCATCATTCCTCCCCCTTCAGTTAGGTTCTGCCTGTCAGTGTGGTTGCTATTAATTTGCTGTTTTACATTGGTAGTCATTTGTGACTGTCTTGAGCTACATCTTGCTGCCCTCCTGTGTCCAACTCCCTGATTACCCTTTTTTGTATAAATAACACTGCCTTTACCTTACTCCTGGTCCTAGTATCCTGTTCACCTTTTTGTGTGTTCCTCTTTGAACTTTACGTTTAAAACTTTATTTTATGTTAAAGGTTATTATATTTGGGCCGAGTGGACCTGGTGTCCCACCATCTGACTTGGGTCCTCTTACATCCTCTGTCAAACTTATTGTCACCAATCTTGGAGTAAAAATTGACACAGCTCTTAAAATGGACAAACAGGTAAATACAGCGGTGAGAAAAAGCTTTTTTTCAGCTGAGGCAGCTCTCTAAAGTAAAACCTTTTACTAGATAAAAATAAAACGACTCGGTTTGGATTCAATCACTGTTGAGAACTCCAGGTTGGCTGGTTGGAAGAGGCAAAACAGCAAAAAGTGACGTCTAGCTTCTTGTTGTCTTCCTGAGCTTGCCCATTGGTCTGGGGCAAACTCAGACTTGAGTCAAATGATTTAATAAACACAAAGACGCAGTTTCTTATACAGCGGTGGAGACATGACAAAATCAAATACAATAATAAATCAGGGAAATATCAGGCACATTTACGTAAGTAAAATAAAGATAAAATAACAATTACAGTTATCAAGGACTCAGCAGGGAAAACATTTCATAATTTTACAAATATAAATAAGGTTTTCAGGAAGTGTTACATGAATCTATACACCTCTGACCATGACTCAAATACGGACGATATTCACAAGTTTCCTAGTGCTTTATATCAACCTCATTTAACACAAGCTCAAGTTAGGGTGTTGGATAAGCCTACAGCTCTAGAAGAATTATTCTGCACTCTCAATAATAAGACACCTGCTCCAGATGGCTTCCCTGCTGAGTTATACAAACATTTCTGGTGAACCCTGTCCACACCATTTGTAAGAATGATTGAAGAATTTATGATTACCTCTAGAATTTCTGCTACCACGAATACTGCAGTGATTGCCCACTGTCTCTGGTAAATACAGAGAGTCCTTGCATCCCAAAAGTAATTCCAGCACTTTTTCATGCTGACTAGATGGGTTTTATTGTAGGCAGACATTCAGCTATTAATACTCCTAAACTAATTAGCTTAATGCAGTTTTCACACTATCAAAAAAAGTAACAGTCTAATTGATGCAGAAAAAGCATTTGACAAAGTAAGCTGGAACTTCCTGTTTGTAATATTTTAAGAAATTTGGATTTGGACTATCGTTTTTCAACTGGATAAGAGCATTTTACACATTGTCAATCGCCACAGTCACCACCAATGGATCAGTTACACAAAACTTTACTCTTCATAATGGTACCGGGCAAGGATGTTCGCTCTCTCCATCGCTATTTCCATTACTCATAGAACCAATAGCTGCAGCTATAAGACAAAACAGCAATATTAAAGGTCTAATACAGAACACAAAATTCTTCTTTATAAAGATGATGTGTTATTGCTGCTTCAGGACCCCCACTCTTCTTTGCAACAATCTTTCAAGGTTATGGATTTGTTTTTTGAAGTCTCCAGCTTCTCTGTAAAATTGTAAAAATCTTCTATTTTTATTCATATGTATGAATGAGGAGCATGTAGCACATTTTGTTTCACCCCATAACCTTCAAACAAGCAGTATTAAAGAGATCGCGTAAAGAGATCGGTTGTTATCGGATTACATTGTGGAAGAGAAATTGTCTAAGCCATCTTTCCGAAGTAACAAAGAGCCGACGGATGGTCTGGATTGCAGCCATTCGAAGACCAAATATAACGTCCCATAACACTCCAGCTCACATGTTAGTCTGCTCCAAGCATTCCCACAAAGGTACGTCTTCTGTTGTAGTTATCATAACATAATTGTTGATGTAGGTTACAATATGTGCCGAAGGGTTGTATTGAAGCAATGAAGTGATGAATAACTGTTTTCCAGTATGTTGTTTTGATATGGGTTTTTTTTGTTGCATTATTGATTTGTTTTTCACTGAAGCAGCTAATAAAGCATAATGGAATCCAATTTTGCCTCTTTCTTGTAAGATTCTATATGAGAATGAAACAATAATGCCAGTTATAGATAAATACAAAAAATTGAATGAATTACGAAACACTAATTTTTTTTCTATTAGATCTGAAAATGTTGTGTAATACTACAACCTGAAACGACAAATAGATTGCGTTGGCCTGTACAGGAGATAAAGGGAAAAAAATCAACAACAGCTGTGGAAATGGAATAGTCCAAATCACCAAAGTAAACTGGACCTGGGCTTGTTGCAGGGATCTGAAGATAATAAACATTTTGTGAGTGTATGCACTAAAACTTAGAACCATATAATAATAAATATGTGCGTGATGAAAGTTGGGCAGCACGCTAACATCCTTACTCCACTCTGCTCGTATGGGTCTCACCCACACTCCTTTGATTTTTTTTCCTCGTATTTGTTTTTTTGGGGTTTTTTGCCTTTTCGTCAAGTCTGTCTTTGTACGGACCTGCCGTATTTTGTACATAATTGTTTTTGGGGCAAATAAAATGCAGGTAGTGATTAAAACAGCAGAATTGATTATTACCAGTGCTGGAAATTCTAGCGCTTGCAGTATTTTGATTTTGTTGCCACTCGTACCCACAATGCAATGCGCGAAAGTCACGTGGTCTGTCAATCTCCATAGATACCAAAATTTGCTGGTAGCACTTTAGTCATATTCATGGCACATTGCAGCATTTCAGTTTTGCTCAGGCAAAGCACAGGATAAATTAAAAATCATTTTTCAGTCTTTACTGTTCTTTGGCGTTACTGTATCCAAGTTCCTATGCGAAGGTCTTAGTAAATGCTGTAGCTCATTACAGGCTCTGTATTTGTTGCAAAATAGGACCATAAGATTTTAAGCAGTAATGCACTTATTCTTGCAGCACTGGTTGTGTGTGTCGACACAACTAGTTATATAAATAAATTATCTGATTCGGTGTTACACGAAAACCATGATTTGTAAATTATTACTGTTAAAATGGGTAAAATTAACAACTGTAAACTTCATCCTTCTGCTTTTTGAGAATATTTAAAGATATTTGTTGCAACTGTATTATTTTTTAACTTTTTTTTCCTAAACTGTTTACAGTGTATTTTGTTATATTTTTATTTCAAGTTCAAAATAAAATAGTCAATCTATCAACTAATTCATCTTTAATAATTCATAAAATGCTGTACAATACATAATTTATATGAATTCACAATAATTATTAATTGATCATTACTGAATCCAAGTAAGTAAAATAAGAGCAACAAACAAAGCAGAACTACACACTCTCATGAAAAACAAACACAAAGGGAAGAGAAATCATTATCTAACTTAAACACATTATTGAAGAAGCCAAAGGTCTCCTGCTATGTGTGTCCTATTTAAGTATTGGTCTCATAAAAAGAAGCGTTTTTCATTAGTAAAGACAAAATAATTTGAGGCTTCTTGAATATGCAGGTTTATATTGAAATGGATCCTAACAGAATGATCTTGCTGTTGTGTTTAATATATAGACTTCAATTATAAAGTAAAGTCAAGTAAAATCTAAATTTGATAGTCTCTTTGCTGAGACAAACCAAACTCATCACTGTTGAAAATTCATCACAGAAAATATTTGCTAAATCCATTGAAGTTAGCACTCTTTAACAGGTTACGTTTGGCTTACAACTAAATGCAGCACAACAGTAAACAAGCACAAAAAGCAGATATACTTTATAAAAATATGGAATGAATCAATAAGGTGCTTTTTAAAGGTTTTTTATAACATTAGGTCTTTTTTTATACAGTTTTGGAAACAAACAGACTGAACTATGGAGGACACGTCTCTTGCTTTTTGAGCCTTTTCTTTTCTGGAAGTTTCTGCCAGCTCACTTTTACGTCATCAGATGAACCTCCCAACTTCTTTTCAACCTGTGTAACAGAAACGAGGATTTAATTGTTGCCTGTATTTTACAGATTCTCTGGGTAAAAATTAGAAAGTTGTCTCAGTGTAAAAGTAAGCTGTGTGTTTAAAAATTTGACTGTTTAGAGAAATAAGCATGTCTGTCTGGGAATTAGGCAAGTAAATTACCTTACTTGAACAGTACAGAGAAATCTCCATCAACAAATACGAACATCTTGAAGATGAAACTTTACTCTGCATTTAAGTATTCTATACACGTTACCCATTTCAAGATGTTCTCCCTCACAGCGGGGTCTGTCATGTCCACTTGGGAGTTGACATCAGCCAGATTCAGTTTCACCGAGAACTTTTTCCGTGAAGCTGGTGAGATAATAAAATTCTCTTTAATTTTAGTTCATATCTATACAGTTTATATAATTACAGTCACCACCAACATTGTCAATATTTCTAACAGTGGTGTTTATGTGGGTGTCTCAGGTTCAAAACTGGTTTGCACTCATTTTTATGTCAAACTGGCAGCACGTTCTTGTTCTATACAAGTTACTGAACAACTACATTACAGTGTAATTGATTGTAATGATGACCCGATGGGATGTGAAAGGAATGAGCTGAGAGGTGATTGAACATAACTGTAGTAAAGTCTGTGTCAAAGCTGATTGTATTATTTCTCTTTCTCTGTGGATAGAGGTGCATTATAGACAAAATGATTTTCCCAATGAGATATATGATGAAGCAATAAAATAGTTATAATTACCATTTTTAACATTCTGTGGATGATCCAAAATTTTTCTCACCTGAACAGATGACAGTAGCGCTCTGACCACGTTCACATTTTTTTATTACAAATCCACTGTGTTTACAGTCAGTTAGAGAACTTTCATTTCCTGAACAGGTCACATTATCAAGCCAAATCTGTCCAGTTCCTGCACCAAACTGAGCCGATTGAGGAGTCTTTACTGCCGTCCCACAGTTCAGCTCTCTGCAAACCACCGCGGCATCATTTAAGTCCCAGCCGTCAACACAGACTGTTCCCCAGATGTTATTGTAGTAAACTTCAACTCTGCCAGAACATCGAGTCGATCCAGACCCAGTTAATCTGACTGGACCTGTGAGGCAAAAAGATATGAAGAGTATTTTGAAATATTCCTTAAAGTAAAAAAGAGAAAAATTTCATGTATGATGCACAAGAACAGACTGGCTTGCCCTGTATTGAATATCTAAAATTTCTCACCTGAACAGATAACACCTGCGTCATTGCCATGTCCATAGATGTATGTTCCCCATCCACTGTTTTGACACTCAGTCAGAGAGCTTTCACTTCCTGAACAGGCAACATTATAAAGCCAAATCTGTCCAGTTCCTGCACCAAAGTAAGAAAACCGAGGAGCCTGTAGTGCCGGTCCACAGTTTAACTGTCTACAAACCACCTCAGCATCATTTAAGTCCCAGTTAAAATCAAAGACTGTTCCCCAGATGTTATTGTGATAGATTTCCACTCTGCCAGAGCATCGAGTCGATCCAGATCCAACTAATCTGATCGGACCTATGAGACATAAGATTTGATCAATATTGGAATTTGTTCCTGATAAATAAATATTGATTTTTTTATTGTATGAGACACAAGGACAGATTACATTTCAATGTCTTTATTATCTAAACATTTTCTCACCTGAACAGATGACACCAGCATCTTTATCATGTCCACACTTTTTTGATCCAAATGCACTGTGCTGACACTCAGTTAGAGAATTTTCATTTCCTGAACAGGTCACATTGTCAAGCCAAATCTGTCCAGTTCCTGCACCAAAGTGAGCTGATCGAGGAGCCTGAAGTGCCGGTCCACAGTTTAACTGCCTGCAAACCACTGCGGCATCGTTTAAGTCCCAGGAATCATCACAGACTGTTCCCCAGCTGCTATTGTGATAGATTTCAACTCTTCCAGAGCATGGAGTCGATCCAGATCCAACTAATCTGATCAGACCTGTCAGGAAAAATAATGAAGAATATTCTGAGATTGTTAATATTATTCTTCCTTACATTAACAAAAGTATTTCGGACACAACATCCAAGAACAAAGTGATCTTCAATCTCTTGAGTATCTGGAAGTTATCTCACCTGAACAAATGACACCAGCAGTCTGATAATATCCACAGGTGTGTGTTCCAAATCCAAGATGTTGACACTGAGTTAGAGAACTTTCATTTCCTGAACAGGTCACATTATCAAGCCAAATCTGTTGAACTACTGCCCCAAAGTAAGCTGATCGAGGAGCCTGTAGTGCCGTCCCACAGTTTAACTCTCTGCACACCACCTCTGCATCATTTAAGTCCCAGCCATTGTCACAGACTGTTCCCCAGATGTTGCCATAATAGAATTCAACTCTTCCAGAGCATCGAGTCAATCCAGACCCAACTAACCGGACTGGACCTGCCAGGCAATAGAAGTTATTTATATTTCAATTCCTCTTTGCACTCGAAAAACCCCAACACTTTTATAAATTTATAAAGCACTTTTAAAAACAACAGCGGGGCTGAACAAATGCTGTGAAAACATTTAATGTATGACAGACTAGACCAGGCTGACCAACAATGACATGAGTATCTAAAATGTTTCTCACCTGAACAGATGACACCAGCATCTTGTTGATGTCCACAGTAGTTTGTTCCAAATCCACTGTGTTTACACTCAATTAAAGAACTTTCATACCCTGAACAGCCCATGTTATCAAGCCAAATCTGTCCAGTTCCTGCACCAAAGTAAGCTGATCGAGGAGCCTGTAGTGCTGTCCCACAGTTTAACTCTCTGCAAACCACGTGAGCATCATTTACATCCCAGCCATTATCACAGACTGTTCCCCAGCTGTTATTGTGATAAACTTCAACTCTACCAGAACATCGAGTTGATCCAGATCCAACTACTCTAACTGTACCTATCAGGCAAAGAAGTTGAAAAAGTATTTCATATATGACACACAATACCAGACTAATCTGCAATGGCTACAATTTTTCTCACCTGAACAGATCACACCCGCATCCTGACCATGTCCACAGCTGTTTGATCCAAATCCACTGTGTTGGCACTCAGTCAGAGAACTTTCATTTCCTGAACAGGCCACATTATCAAGCCAAATCTGTCCAGTTCCTGCACCAAAGCGAGCTGATCGAGGAGCCTGCAGTGCTGTCCCACAGTTTAACTGTCTGCAAACAACCTGAGAATCATTTAAGTCCCAGCCATCATCACAGACTGTTCCCCAGCTGTTATTGTGATAAATTTCAACTCTGCCAGAACATCGAGTCGATCCAGACCCGGCTAATCTGACCAGACCTATTTGGCAAAAATGAAAAGAAAAAAAAAACATATTTAAAATGTTGGTTAAATTACATAAAAATAAAGATTTTGTAGATGATACAAAGGAACAGACAGACTTTCATTTTCTTTAGTTTATAAATTTTTTGCACCTGAACAGAAGACACCAGCATCTTGTTGATGTCCACAGTAGTTTGTTCCAAATCCACTGTGTTGACACTCTGTTAAAGAATTTTCATTTCCTGAACAGGCCATATACGAAAACCAAACCTGTCCAGTTCCTGCACCAAAGTAAGCTGATGGAAGAGCCTGTAGTGCTGTCCCACAGTTTAACTGTCTGCAAACCACCTGAGCATCATTTACATCCCAGCCATTATCACAGACTGTTCCCCAGATGTTATTGTAATAAACTTCAACTCTGCCAGAACATCGAGTCGATCCAGATCCAGTTAATCTGATGGGAACACCTGAAAACAAAACAGGGAACCTTCATTGTAAATGGTATTATGTTTAATTTTCACGACTAGTTAACTATGTTCAACATATATTATAAAAAGTCTTAGCGTGCCATCACACATCCCATTTTTCTATTGCCCATCTATCATCATTATTAACCCTGTTTTCTTCTCGTAGTAATTCCTAATGCTGTTTGGATGCAAATGGCTCTCCTACATGCATGTAAACTGAGCACGAGGAGCATGTGGGTCTCTCCTTCTTGCTTTCTCCCTCACCACCATAAACTTTGCTACTAGTTTTCAGTTGCTTCTAGCAGATATGTTTAATTATTACTAGTCAAATAATCATTCTTATAAACAAGAATCTTTCCTGCTCTTTTTCCATTGTTGAAGGAAAAGAGCAGGTAGAATTGAAGGAAATTTGAAATTGCTGACTAAGGATGAAGGTATATTTGGTAAGAGTCATGTTGCTGTGATGACACTCGGTTGCATCAAACTGATATTGAATCAGTGTGCAGTTTTACTAAAACAATGATGGACTCTATAGTTTTCTCTCATCCTTTGCCCTATCAGCCAGATGTGACATGTAAGCCATATGTTCTTCTTAAACTGCTGACTGACTCAGGGTTGTCCACAGAATGATGTGGGATTCTTAGGTAATATAAACAATTCTGGGGAAATCCTGGTCCTGTTAAAAAAACTGGCATCCATCCCACTTTAGATGTAGGAATTTATTAAACACACGAAAACATCATGAAGGAGAGTTACAGTCCTATTTGCCTCCTTGCATCTTCCATCCACCAAAGACCTTATTCTCATTGATCAGGGGTGGCCATCTCCAGGCCTTGAGAGGCGGTGTCCTGCAGGTTTTAGATGTCCTTGATCCAACACAGCTGATTAAAATAGGTAAATTACTTCCTCAATTTGTCTTGAAGTTCTCCAGAGGCCTGGTAATGAACTAATCATTTGATTCAGGTGTTTTGACTCAGGGTGAGATCTAAAACCTGCAGGACACTGGCTCTCAATGTCTGGAGTTGGCTTTTCTTCCTTGTTAGTAAATAAATTAATTGTTGATCAAGATAGTGATTTATTCGGCCTGACAGACACCTGGTTGGAGCTAGATGAATATGTTAGTTTATATGAGCCATACTGCCAGAAAACTCAAAGCACAGGCCGAGGAGGTCGAGTGGCAGCAGTCTTTCACATATTATTCAACCATAGACCCAGACAGAGTTTCAATTAAACATATGACTCTTGGCCTTGTCCACTTAATTGAAAAACTCAAAAAAACAGCTTTATTTGTTTTATTCCATCATCTACCAGACCATTATAGTTTCTATCTGAATTATCTAGCTGACTTTTGTATTTGTTGCTCAGTACAGATTAAATAATTATGGCAGGTGATTTTAACATTCATGTACTTGGTCAAAACAACAGCGCCAATAATTAATTTATTATTAGACTCAGTTGGCTTCTCTCACTTTGGATCTTGTCCTGAAATATTGGTCAGAAACCAAGCATTTAACAATATTCCCTGAAAACCCTCTTTTGTCTGATCATTTACCAACATTTGAATTTACAATGAAGTACACAGCAGTGGTGGTTAAATTTTTGTTATCGTAGGTGTAATGCTGAAAGTCCTGTAAGTTTAAGGCAGTGATTCATCCACTTTTATCTTCTTCAATGCTACCTGCCGGTTACCTAAACCTTTCTCCTTCAGAGGTCAGTTATTCCATTAATAGTGCTATTTTTTGTGCTATAAAAAAGCAAGGATATCTTGAAGTTTACACAGCAACATTCTCACCTCAAAACATCTTAAAAGTTTATTTTGTGATCTAGAAAGAGTAATATTTCAAACTCCGCCACTCTGCGTTCCTCTGCAACTGCCTCGTTTGAGTTTCGGATGAAATGCATTCTGGGATATTTGCCTGGGTTTGGCTATAGTAGCTAGCAAGCTGATTGAAGACCAAAAAAACCAATCAGAATTTTTGCATCCAAGTCTGTCACTGGTTGGTTTTGTGGCACAAATATAACGGTGTACAGAAAGAGTTGAAACGTTGAGAGCACAAGCAACACATTGCCAGCGGGTCCACAGAGATCTTAGCAAGAGCAAATGCAAAAACTGAGCGAGAGGGCCTGTTATTGTGTGTTTATATGGATGATAGCAAACACTGAAATACATTTTTTGCACGCAGCAATGAATTTTGTTTGCACAAATTTAGGTTTTCTTCACTCAAAATAAATTTCTCCTCAAAATGCAACACTTGCACCTGAAATTTTTTTTTACGTGCGCTCAAATTTTTTTTTTAACGTGTGCTTAGAATAGTGGCACAAAAATAACACCATACCCATCGAAGTGGGATTGTTGTGTGACTTCCTGTTAGTTCCCCAGCAAGCCAGTAAGTGTTAGGCTGTGTCCCAATTCAGGGTCTGCACGCTTGAAGTACGCATTTTAAGTGTAATTACGTCACCACCACGCGACGACGGCTGTCCCAATTCGAAGTGTACTTCAAATGCATACTCCAAATGCGCCGTCGATTTCCCCAAATATCGAGCGTGGTCCAGTGCACGCTTCGTGGTCCCATTTACCCCAAAATTCATAGCGCAGCGGTGGGTGTGGATGATTTTGACGCAAAATACGGCAGAAGGGAGCAGCCGAAGAGTGAACTGTCAAAAGTAAGTACTGAATATGATGTCACTTATTTATGTGCGAATGTTTAATAATGAAGAACATTAAAACTGTTGGCCACATGTCGGCAAAGTTGTGTGACATTAGTGATGCCTGTACTTTCAGCGTTAACTTGGTTGTAAAGCCAACCAAGTTAACGCTGAAATACATATATATCATAATAATCTGACAATACTATAATATTGGCCATATTATATTTACATTACCACAGTGAGATGATTTTAGTCTCATGAACAACATTAGCTAATTGTTATTTACTAACTAATCTTAAATGACTGTTCAGCACAGACATGAAGCCCAACAATCATGTTTTACAGTCCCGTGGTCTCAGCCTCAGATACTCAACTAATCAAAGTGATGTCATGACAAAAATGAATGACCAACAAAACATTTTTCTCCTTCATTTCTGTCAAACAAAGCTGTATGTAACGTTTCTCACGTTTAGTATCATGGTTGCTAGGCAACCTGAACAGCGCAACAAAGCCTAGACCGTCTATTTCACAGGCCTCTCACTTCCACACTTCTCGTACTTATAGTACGCACCGTACGTAGTACGCGTAGTGTGAGTACTTCAAGCGTGCAGACCCTGAATTGAGATACAGCCTTAATCTGCCATGATTGTGGAATTTACTAATGGCTGCCTCTGTGTTTTTCCCAGGAGGATTGCAGGAACTAGAGGACAGTCAGCTCAAGGAGTGGAGACACGGAGCACTGGGATGGAGAGAATACACAGAGCAGGAGTCTGGAATGCACTGAGGATTTGTTTTTGGATTATTATTTACTGCATCTTGTGAGAGCTGATTGTAAAAGCAAAGCTCTCAATTTACTAGTCGATCTACGTCCCTACCCTCACCTATGGTCACGAGCTGTGGGTAGTGACCAAAAGAATGAGATTGCGGATACAAGCAGCAGATATGAAAAATACTTTTTCTTCGTAATTTTTTTAAGTTTTGTATAGAAATTACACAAAATTCAGAGCATGGAGTCGATCCAGATACAACTAATCTGATCAGGCCAGTCAGGAAAAATAATGAAGAATATTCTGAGATTGTTAATATTATTCTTCCTTACATTAACAAAAGTATTTCAGACACAACATCCAAGAACAAAGTGATCTTCAGTCTCTTGAGTATCTGGAAGTTATCTCACCTGAACAAATGACACCAGCAGTCTGATAATATCCACAGGTGTGTGTTCCAAATCCAAGATGTTGACA